GTCACAGATCAAGAGAGCTTCAATAATGTTAAGCAGTGGTTAAGTGAGATTGACCGCTATGCTAGTGAAAACGTTAACAAGCTACTTGTTGGGAACAAATGTGATCTAACAGCCCAGAAGGTTGTTTCTTATGAGACGGCAAAGGTAAAGATTGGCATTGCTGCTCTGCCAATGTTGATTATGAATGTTTTTTATTTGAATGCATTGTAATTTATTTTGTTTGTTTAGGCTTTTGCGGATGAGATTGGGATTCCATTCATGGAGACTAGTGCAAAGAACGCCACCAATGTGGAACAGGCTTTCATGGCCATGGCTGCGGCCATCAAGAATAGGTATAGTGTATTTCTAGTTTGTCCGATGAAAGGAAATTAGTACTTAATGGTGGGGATTAATGCGATGTCCGTTGAACTGGATAATATTTTGACCTGCTGAGATTTTCTTGATTTGTCCGTTGCTAACTGGAAACGGAGCTCACGTCATCCTCACCTGATTGATTGTTGATCTCTGGCATGTGCAGGATGGCGAGCCAACCAGCCATGAACAATGCTCGACCTCCAACTGTGAACATCAGGGGACAGCCCGTTGACCAAAAGGCTGGTTGCTGCTCATCTTGAAGCTGAAAATCCATCCTGGGGGCATGCGATGTTTATCTCTGTTCTATGTGACCGTGACATGTAAAACTAGTTTCTCTGTCTGTCAGAATGCTTGGTTGGATGTGAAAACTGCTGGCTATGGAATACTTCTCTTGTTATTTCAGTTATTTGTGGAAAATTCCCATTCTTTTTGGTGTATCCAATTCTGAACACATGTAAAAAGTAGCTTCAGGTGCCCACGGCCGCATTCATTTAGTTGCTTCTACCGATTCTTGAATGGTTAGGGGGTTGGGTGAACTTTTGACGTCCTTCTCTTTTGCTTATTGAAGCTCAAAGGAAAGCTCTGAGTCGTGCCATCTAGAGCTGTGCAGTTGATGCGTGAACCGACTAGAGACGGCACGGCACTCCCTAGGCATGCCATTGCCATGGTATTTTGCAGAATTTATGATTCTTTGTCCCGCATTGTCGGATGATGAAAGTATGACTGTGGCTTCGTGGAAGAAACATAAGCAACCCTCATTGAAATTGTCGAAAATTGGAATTACATATTTGCACGATCACTTTATTTGCGAGGGTGAACAAAGAACAATCATTGAAATGGGTTTGAGTGGTCCATCATTCTCTCTAAACTGGAGTTATGAATAACGGAGGCATGGCGAATCTCTCAGTCGGAATGAGAGCCGTGGCTGCTACCTTGCGTCATCTTTCTACCCCTCGTGCACATGAAACTGATGTCTAGGTAACCATCTAACGATGTCGTCCACCTTTCATCCCAACCGAGCACTGTATGGATCAGGTGCGTGCCCCAGAAAAGATGCCTTATCGATCTATAAGTTGAAACTATGTCTGAACATTAGACATGAACTCGGACTCCTATGTGCAGTTGGCGAAATCATGATGGTCTCAAAGCTGACGAATACATATTGGCTTCTAGGAACTTTGAATCGATCACCTTCGGCTCCTCGCAGCATCTTCCATGTGCAAACCTTCACCTTTGGTTCCTTGCGGCATCTCGCATGTGCAACCCTTCACATACCCCCAGAAGCAAAAGTTAGTCCTCAAACCCTCGTGAAAAATATGCCAATTCATGCCCTTTGCTCTTGAGCTTCGCCATACTTGGTAAATTCAATCTTCCTTAATTACAAAAAAAAAAAAAAATTCAATCTTCCCCTCATACCAGTGTGATTTCTCCAGACAAGTTCCAACCGGAAGGTGTGATAAGGGAGATCCAGTTTTTGAAATGTTGGAATTTGAAAACACGCGACAGTCATAGCAAGAGTGAGTCCTCAAAAGATGCACTTCTTTTAATCATCGCTACTGACAAAAGACATCTATGCCAGTCGGATAACCACAGGCAGATAGTCTGCATAGGTTCCTACCAATAGTCTCCACAGGAGCAATTTCCATCCTTGAAGTGATGAAACCTCGAGGTATCTCTGACAATAATCTCTCTACCTTCAATTGCCGATATGTATTTTGCAGCACTGTGGCAATCCCCACAAATTCTCAAGTTCTTGAAAACCCGGATCGGTATTCCCGGTGGAAGCTTTATGAGCCCAAAAGCAATAGCCAACTTTTCACTGTGCCCGAGGAGAAGCTGCTCTTTCTGCTCTTCTTCCACATCATGCAATGCGCATTCAAGATCTGGCACATATCCAGCTAGTCTCATTTTCTTCACCAAGGCATCCAGTTTTGAGTGTATTAAAGGTAGTTTCCGGTGAATCTGGTCTCCTGATCTGAACTCATGAACAGCACTTTTTACCTCGATCCAACTATAGCCTGGTGTTTTGACCACCTTATTTTGTTTCATCGATTTCCTAACCTCGGTGACTCCATCCCATCTATTCATTGCTGCATAAACATTGGCCAATTGAACGTAACCAGTCACGTTTGTAGGATCAAGATTAAGCAAGCTCTTGGCAGCGAATTCAGCCAACTCCAAGTTCTTGTGGATCCTGCATGCACCCAAAAGGGTTCCAAATATAGCTGAATGGGGTCTAAAAGGCAATCTCTTTATCAAATCTACAGCTTCATCTAATTTGCCAGCTCTACACAGGAGGTCCACCATGCAGGAGTAGTGATCCGGCTTCACTTCAACTCTATAATCTTTCATCATAGAATCAAAATACCTTACTCCTTGATCAACCAGACCTGAATGGTTGCAAGCCACTAACACAGCGACGAAAGTGATCCAATCTGGTTTAATACCCTCATTTCTCATCTCTTCAAACAAAGTAAGAGCTACTTGTCCTAAACCATGCTGAGCATACCCCGATATCATCGCATTCCAAGAGACAATGTCCCTATGAGGCATCTCAAGAAACAACTTCCAAGCATCCCTCAAATCTCCACACTTCCAATACATGCTGATCAATGAAGTGCCCACGGTTGTGTCGCTACTTAATGAGCTTTTAATGGTAAATTGATGAACTTGCTTACCCAACTGCAAGGCAGACAAATTGCTACAGCCCAATAGAACACTACTCAAAGTAGAGGGATTCGGTCTTATTCCATATCCCATCATGTTCTTAAATAGCTTTAAACCCTCTTCGGCGCGACTATTCTCAACATAACCTGCAATAACTGCATTCCATGTCACCAAATTCCTGCCAGGCATCTCTCGAAATAGCTTTTCCGCAACTTTGACCTTTCCAAATTTCATATATCCATTAATCATCGCTGTCCAAGCCACTACACTCTTAATCGGCGCAGCCTCAAAGAAGCTCACCGCTGACTCCAAGTCACCACACTCCACATACCCAGATATCATCGCACTCCACGAGACACTGTTCTTCTCGGGCATTGCAGAAAACAACTCACATGCACGACCCATCTTCCCCTTCCGGACATACCCCGATATCAACGTGTTCCAGGAGGCGACATCCTTAACAGGCATTTTATCGAAGTAAGCCCGGGCCGTGTTCACGCCAAAAGTCCTCGAGTAACAAGCCAACATGGTGTTATACGAAACAGCATCCCGTTCGGGAATTTTATCAAACATCCTGCGGGCTTCCTGAAATTTCTCAGGTCTCTTTGCATACCCGGCAAGAATCGAATTCCAAGTGACAAGAGTCTTGACTCTCATACCATTGAACACTCTAAGAGCAGAATCCAAGTCATTAGCTCGAAGGCACCGAGAGATCGCCTTATTTGACTCCACTACGCCGTCCAATTCACGCTGATCACTCACGTCACTGGAGGATACCAACTGGGGGATTCTGGGGACATGGGCATCACTAAAATTAGCTGAATTGCATTCATCGCTCGAATCCGCAGGTGGGTCTTCGGCTACTAAGGAAGAGAAAGAAGCGGTCTTGAGGGCGATCAAAGATCGGATCTTCAACTTGAACGAGCCTAAGAGGTGATGTTTTCTGGTTTGGCTAGATGGATTCATCAGTCATTTGCAAGTGTTCCTTACTTGCAAGTGTTCTGTCTATTGCACGGTAACACTTGTTGCGACACGGGTTTGTTCCACGAGAAAGATTTGACTGAAATGTGGAGCTGCAGAGATTTACCTTGGTCACATATTTACCCAAGGAACATAGCAAAGTAGTTACCTTCAGACTTTTCGAGCACTCCCGTGGGATGGGATGTGCACATTTTAATGCGGACATGCCCATTGATAGAGCAATTTCTAAGGTTGGCTGACGAAATGATGCGCTCATAGAAGTCAGATAACTAAATTCGAAACCGACCGTGACTTGCAACGAGTCGTCTTTGTAGCATGTTCGACAGAAAGATGATGCTGATGGAGGGTCGATCAAATTGAGAGCCTTTGTAGCTTAACGACTCGAAACAATCGTGTTTAAAAAAGTGCCTTTTTCCGCCGAGTTGATGGTTGAGAAATTTTAGACTAAATGACGCTTTCGAAATATAGAACTGGGAAAAGAAGCGGAAACGATGTAGGCTCAAATTGACCGAATTGCGCATTTAGGAAGCTTGGAAAGCTACTCGCAAAACAATCCTTAGTTCCCAAAGAATTTTCATGTATATGGAAAGGAGATCCTCAGGTCTTTCATCATGTCGCTTGTCCATCTAATTACCAACTTAACGGAAATGGATACCGCCTAACAAGAATGGGTGTGGCAAAACATTAAAAAAAAAAAAAAAAAGAGAGGCAAGTTTCACCTGGGGCACAGACAATCTGCAATCCACACATTGTGATGTGAAAGTTACCATTTGTGGAACTTTCTTTCGTTCCACCTCTCCTTCAGACATACAGATTAAAAAGACAGCTCCTTTTGGTGGGTAAGCCACCATATATCTGCACAAACCTCTCTATATAGCTCCATGCTGACGGCTAGGAGCAAGAACTTTCCATTGCAGCATAATAGCCTATATCATTCACAGGACCAACTAATCACAAGAGCCACGTTAAAACCCCAAGCCTAGACAAAGATCAACGGACAGAATAATCAGAAAACGTCGTATCATTATCTCGAAACTTAAGAAGATGGAAAGATTAAAATGCATTTTCGATCTAATACAATCAAGCCGATGCGATTTCTCTTTCTTGGACACAGCGGGACAACGTCCCAGTAAAACCTTAAACAGAGTGGAGAAAAGGGGTTTGCATATGAATCAAAACAAAACCGCCGGCAAATAAAGCCCGCAGTGGAGTATCTAAGATATACATGCTAAGTAGCCAGCGTCATTGATCCCTAAACGAGGTTTCCCATACAGAAGATTTTGTTCTTGTTAATGACCCGTCGGTCACACTCTTTCGAGGCTGCGGGCTTCTTTTGACCCCGACCACGGCCACTACGGCTGCAGTACCTCTCCCCTTCAACAATCTTCAGGACTTAGCTTATGCTAACAGACTGCGGTAAGAACAACAATTTGTCAACATAGAGAAGACTTGCCCAGGCAACGCCCATATCTGACCATGCTAGTATACAACAATCTTCAGATTGGAACAGAACGTGTAGTATCTAACAGTGGTAAGGTTTCATACTAGTTGTAGAGTCACTCCACTGATTTGCTTCAGTCCCTCTGAACGATCACTTGGTAGAAAGAAACATAAACCAACAGATGTCCGCACCTTGGAAATTTGAGACTCAGACAGCTATATGGTTTATTTTCAAGCTCCAATTTGACAGAAGTATGACATTCATTATCCCCATTTACTCCAATGAAGCAATCAAAAACTGCATGAAAAGAGACTTCCTTTCTCGATTGGAAAGAAGAGAGAAAATCGGAACTTCTCAGTATCCTAGATAATGGGCTTTAAATGTTATGCATTGACAAGTAACCAACTCGAGATCAATAAAGATAAAAATTGTGACATCCTAGGCTATTCACTGAGTTATTATCCGCTTTGGCCCATCCCATGCCTCACAATTCCTGTCCTCTTCGCCGTCCTAAATCCTGCCAAGATCCACTTCTTGTCCAGGCCTTCTGGCCTTGGAAACCACTCTCTGCCCTCGTCGGACCAGGTCATTATAGAAATACGAAAAAGATGCTAACTCAAGCTAACGGAAACACTTCCAGCATCAAAAGCTGCAAACTGTGTTTCCCAAATTATGAACTTTCTATTCTAACATCAATCCATCTCAACAATTACATTTAATTCTCGCAATATCCCAGCTAACAAGTGCACAACACAACGGCACATATTACACTCAATCTAGCAGTCCACACAAGCATAGCAACATAATTAGACTAGGCTTTCAAATATTCAAACAATTGCAAGAAAGCAGACCTTCTTACGGCTATTACCAATTGAAGCTGGAGCTTGAGCTCATGCTTAACTACGCAAATACAAATCACATGTTTACATCCAACTAAACACTAATCGCCACATCACTTGTACCGGTTCTTCAGCGACTACCTGGTGAAGCCGGAACTTGAGCACGGGAGAGCAACCCGGACCATGGAGAAGACAGCGAAGTGCCAACGGAGACAACGGCGTGAGCTAGAGAGCGAGAGAATGAGAGAGCTCGATGGAGTTAGTGAGTTGGAGGGCAAGTCAGAGAGAGAGAGAGAGAGAGAGATCATGGCTGAGTGAGAATCAGAGGGAGAAAGAAAGGAGAAGCTGAAAAAGAAAAAGTCGATAGTAGCCTGGCCGGCGTGGCGCGCACATCTTTCCTCTCGTCGTTGTCGACAAAGCAAAGGAGCATGCTTTTATCGAATTTCACATTTTACAGCATCTAAACAACACCACGTTTTCGTCCCCTACTCATTATCTAGGGACGTCATGCTCGTCCCCCCCCAACGCAAGCAACATAGCGGGGACGGAGGAGATCCCGTCGCTGAAGAGACAACCACAGAGCAAATTTGCCGCACGACACGCAGCCGGAGCCCAGTAAAAAGCCCCGACAACAAGGTACTGGCCCCCCCAAAAAAGCAGGAATCCCATAATCACTTCACTTTTCCTCGACGTGTGGTTGACAGAACTCTCGACGACTTCTCCGAGTTTAGACTCCACAGCAGCAGGAACCGTGCAATTCACTATGCGGTACATCTACCCTTTGAACCACTTCATCAAGAACCGTATAGTAGCTGGTTCATCCAAATTTAATTTGTTTCTTTTTCTCTTTTTTTGATATCTTGCTGTCCTAAGAAAGACATTATGGCGTGGGTCAATGGTTAATGTGGTCATCACCCACTTTCCCAAATTTCCATGTACATGTCTGCAACTGTGCAACATACAAGGTCAAAAGAAGATTTTGATGTTTTGCTCTTCACCTCACTGGTCACAAGTCACGACCATTTTTGCTGTCGGTGGGGGACATTGAAAACCACCAAATGAAGAGAAGGGCAGTTAGTGAGCTTAGTGCATTACCTATTGACTTAGTGCCCCTCCCCGCAGTTGAAAATATCGAGTGAAGAGCAGTGTTTTTCCAACAGTTGGTGCACTTAGAATAATATTTTGACGCACCTAATCTCATTCAAAATTCTTCGCAATGAGGTCTATGTTTATTCCAACCCTTTGAATTGCACTCGAGATTAGAGAAATCCATTTTCATAATTGAGAAAAAAATGGAGAAATTACTAGTATGGTTGCAAGTCGGAAGAGGCGTGACAACGTCGGCCCTATCTTCCACGGTTCACTTCTAGCTATTACGAGTTCGTTAGGACGTGAAACGTGGACTCTCGTTGAGGACACGAGCTGGGTGTTGATTTGGGTATTTATGTTGTTGCTCTAGGGATCATCCATAGATTTTGGGGAAGAAATGAGAACAGAACAGCTAAAGATTGACATCTAACAGGCTTCTTTTTAATTTACCCATTTCCAGATTTTGTGTGTGTACAAAGATATATACCTAAATGAAGATTTTTTTTTCTTTTTTCTCTATATATTTCTGTGGGTTAAGATGGGCTTGGCAAGCAATTAGACATGGGCATGCCCTGATGATTCCTCCTGCTCTCAATATTCAATCTCAAGGCCTTGGCCTTGCTCGTGTACAATCTCTTCACATTGGACGCCTGCTCGTTGAGCAATCTCACTAGGCTCCTCTTGGCATTGTCTCGGAACGGGCAATTCGACGACGAGAACCCGTCCACCAAGTGCAAGTAAGCCTCGAGGTCGTGGCAACACGCCACGTCTGCGTCCGGCTTAAGGAATGGCGACATCCTCGTGTCCACCCTCAGCTCCGTGCCGACATGCGAGTAGTCCCACGGCATGTTGTCGTCGAGCACGCCCTCCAGTTTGGTGTCCCTCAATTTTTGCTCTAGGTCTTCGCTCAGGAATGTGCCCGGGACTCTCGTGATTATGTCCTGGTTGTTAACTATTCTCAGGACCTTCACGTTTTTGGCATTGATCCTATTTGCAAATGCTTTGTTGCCTACCCTAGGCCCACCGAAGGAGAACACGGCCACGTGTGGCGGCGGCGAGGAGGACGGAGATTCTGCGGAGCACGTGCTCAGCTCGTCGGCCACCAGGAGGGCCAGGGCTGCGCCGAGGCTGTGCCCCGTGACGGTGATGCTCAGGGTCTCGCCCTCGTATAGTTTCAGGAGCCTCTTCACCTCGTCCGCCACGGACTCGGCCAGGCTCGGAACATGAGCCCCGCCTGTCCGGTACAGGCTTTGAAACCCGCATTCCACCTTGGATTGCCCTTGCGCCGCTTCCGGCGCCGGGCCGCCAACCTGAGGCATGTCGACAAGATGGGCCCTCATGTTCTCGGCCCACTCGAGGCACGTGGCGGTCCCGCGTAGGGCAATCACGATGTCCCTCCTCCCCATCCGCTGGATCTCCCTCCGGTCCTCGCACACCGCGACGTACCCAATCCAGCTCGACCGCTGCGTCATCCAGTCCAGGTCCGGCGCCACATCGTCCACCCACTTGGGCAGCCCGATGGATGACGTGGCGTACAGGCTCTTCGTCACCTTATAGGACCGGTCCGGGAGCACCACGTGACGCGGTGGGGGGGCCACCTCGGCCGACGTGGCGGGGTCCGTGTTGAAGGCCTCATAGGCTGCCTGCACAAACTCCCCATACCGCACCACCTCCCTCCGGAGGTTCTCGTCCAGCGGGTCGAGCAGCCCGGCCCAGTCATTGCAGCCGTGGTATTCCTGCCACCGGCTTGCGAGGCTGTTCCGGGGGGAATACTCTGGCGTCATGGAGAGGAGCCGCTGGAGGCGGTGGAGGTGCCGCGGCGACATCTCCTCCGCCGCCTTCGCCCCTGGCCAGATCCTGGCCAAGCTCAGGCCCTCCAGTAGGCCGCTTCCAGCTCTCTTCTCCTCCTCCGACAACGCGACGTCGCTGGGCTTCGCGATTTCCTCGCGATCCCACTGATGAGGCGGTTGCGGGTCGAGCACGCTCGGCTTCTGCAGGAGCTTATCGAGGTTGGCGAGGTGCAGCCTCGTCGACTCCGTCTTCATCGCCCATATCCTCCTCGTCCTCGTTACCTCATCGCTGTTCGCCAACAGCGCGCTCCTCGGCCCCGTGACCGGGTTCAACGGGGATAACTTGCTCCTGTAGCTCGAAAGTTTGGTCTGGAAGACGTTCTGGTTATGAGCAGGAAGCGTCGGACTGACCGCCATGTTCGAGAGCGAGAGCAAGAGAGCGAGCGAGAGAGAGAGAGGGAGAGAGAGGGAGAGAGAGAACTAGGACTAAATATATCTACAAGGTGGAGAGAAACCAAGTGAGAATGAGAAGATGAGGGCAGGTATATATAGCTACGAATTCAGGGGCAGTTTGGTCACAATTTTCGGATTACCCTCCACCAAATGCGCATACGGTCCGTATTAAACTACGCACTTTATGCTGAAAAGCTTGTTGTAATATTTCAATACGGAATTTTGGTACGCGGGCAAGCTCTTTCATGAGAGGGGAGTGTCCCGGAAGCAACCTTGCCTAGCATTCCATTTTGACTATTTTTCCTCCTTCTCTCTCTCTCTCTCTCTCTCTCTCTCTCTCTCACACACACACACGCACGCACGCGCGCGCACACACACACGAACACACGTTTTGAGGGCTTGAATCTCGATTCGAATCTGTAGGGTCTGGACCACATCAAGCGCGAGTCAATTGGACTCCAACCATCTAACAAAGATATATTTATGCTGATTCAATCTTAAATCTTTCGGTTGTACCAATTTAATCTTAAGCCTTTTCATATTTTGCCCATTGAATCTATCCGATCAATTTTGGCTAGAAATCGCTGATGTGAACGCCAGCCATCACCACTAACGCTAAAGCGAACATTTTTTTTAATGTTTTAATAATTTCTTAAATGTTTTATAATTTCTTCATTTTCTTTTATTTTCTTTTTTTGGGGGTCCAAATTTAGCGAGGGCATCGCGGCCCTGGCTAGATCTGGGCGAGGGGCTGCACACCTTGCTTTGGTCGGTGAGAGAGTCGCAACCTCACCGGCCACTAGGGATGAGCGGTTCCAAATTTCGTAGATGTTCCACCTGGAGCCTGGAGCCTGGAACCTACCCTGCATATCCTATATTCTAAAACTTACCCTGTCCCAGGGTCATTTTCAGGGTCTACCCAAGTTTCACATGTATTATTAATTAAACGATTGCAGTGAATCATCACCTTTAATAACCGCCACTTGCTGTTACAATCTACTTACCACAAATTATAATTAGACACACGAAAAATATGAAATATTAACAAAGTAAAAGTCTCGGTTTTAAAATGGAAGCTCGGATTAGTGGTTCTTGATTATATACTCATCATCAACCGCAACATCGTGCGAAGAAATAAACTAAGAAAAATACAAAAACTTGTTCTAGGTTCTAGATGTAGTACCTATAACTTATCCATCGAAACAAGTTCCCCAATTTTAAGAACCTGGAACCAGCCTTACATATCTTGAAACTTGGAACCAGACAAATTCCCACCGATCCGGTTCTTTCGTTCTAGGTTCTATCCTGGAACCATGCTCACTTCTACCGGCCACAACAAGAGCCCATGAGCCCTCGCCTAGTGGCTGGTGAGGGCGGCGGCCAAAAAAAAAAAGTAAAAAAAAATAAACAAAAAATTTAAAAAATTATTAAAAATGTCCACATCAGTACTGGCGGTGTCACATAGGACGGCTAGAGTTCACAACAGTAATTTTCAGCCAAAATTGGCCGAATGAACTCAATTGGCAAAATGTGAAAACATTTAGGACTGAATTGACATCAATGCAATAGATGCGTGACTTCTTTTGTACTTTTCTCAACATTCGTTTAGCAAATTGATCATATAGACCGATCGTTTTTTTTTCCGTCGCGACGATCATAGAAAGAACAAGAAGAAGAGCATCCGGATAAGTCTACGAGGAAGACGGTCAATCCTCCTGCTTGGGTGCTGCAATCGAATTGACTCGGAATCAAATTTCAATGGCACAGCAAGATTATATAAAAGGAAGGAGGAGGGCAAACTGCAACTTTCTTGGACCCAACGCATGAATTGACGTGCACTTCTAAGCTGCTGCTGTGTGCAAATGTGGCGTATTCGCTTTGAGATGAGCTAGTGTGTCAGCAGGAGCCTTTTAATATGTATGACTAGTTTGCGTCAAAAGATCGAGTTGCGCTTGCATTTGGTTACGACAGGCGAATTTCTTGGTTTGGAAATCATAGGATTGGTCCATAAAAAGAGTCATCTTTCGTTTGGTCGTTGAGGATGAGGAATTTCACTTGAGCATTTCTAACGGAAAAGTATCGGAAAAATCCCTAAATCAATTGCGTTGGTGCCAATTTAGCTCCAAAACATTTTGTCTTTGTGCCAATTCAGTCATTCCGACTAGTTTTGGCCGGATATTGCTGACGTGGATGCCGGCCAGCCTACGTGGCACCGCCGGCGCTGGCGTAGGTAATTTTTAATAATATTTTAGTAACTTTAGATTTGTTAATTGTTTTTTCTGATTTTTGCTTTCATTTCTTTACTTTTCCTTTCTTCTACCTTTTGGTGGTGACCGGCCATGTAGGCCGGCCGACGTCCACGTCAGTATTATCCAGCCAGAATTAGCTGGAAAGACTAAATTGGCACAAAGACAAAATGTTTAAGACCAAATTAACATAAAAAAAAATATTTAGAACTATATTGGCACAAATGCAATTGGTTTACTATTTTATGCTACTTTTCTCGCATTTCTAATAACATTAGCTGCCTAGCAATAATTTCGGGAAAAATTGTCTAAAAAGTTTTAAATCTATTATGCGGCTGTCAATTCAGTTCTAAACCTTTCAATTGTGTCAATTTAATCCTAAATATTTTGATAATTTTCCTTTAATCATTCCGACTGATTTTGGCAGGAAATCACCGACGTGGACGATTTTTGTAATTTTTTTTCCGACTATTTTTTATTTTTTTTACTTTCCTTTTTCCTTTTCCTTGTTATTTTTTTCCTTATTTCCCTCCGCCGGTCGTCAGCCACGAGCGAGGGCCAGCGAGGGTCGCCAATACCAGCATAATCAAACCCCATCGAGGGTCAAAAATAAAGTATAATGGGGTCACTATCGTTTCCGGTTCACAACGTGTTATACGAAATTCACGTCCAAATCAAATACGTTAATCACCTAAAAGAGGGCCATAATGTGAACCTACCCAATACCGAAATCGAGATGACTGCGATCTCCTATCCGCTCCTTCTGCTCCACCCTAACAAAAGTCAACTGGCCTCCCCAAAACAAAAACGCCATCCGTTTCAGTAAAGTCAACTCGCTGCTTCGGTTGTTGCATCGCTCAGTCGACACGATTCGTTCCATCATTAGTTTTACAAAGACATTTCCATCAATTGACATTCTATTTCCGAGAATTGAGGAAAACCCAAAAGTTTATTTTGGTAGGCAGGCGGCAACTTGTCGTGCCAACCTATTCACACTTGCTCGTGTTGCTCCAGTTGGGCGTCACAAGTAATTAATTCTGGTTTTTTTTTTGGGGGCTAAATTATAATTAATTCTATTGAGTGTTCGTGAAAGTTGCGGCAATACCAATTTGAACTGAGCACGCCAAACATTTTCTAATGCGACCATATGGTATATAAATATATCTTTCTGTCTGTCTCGTGGATGACGTGAATTTTCTAGATCCCGTACAATCGTTCGTACAGATCTCCTTAAATCCCGGAATAGTAGACCCCGGGAATCGGTCGCGCATCGGTTTCATGATATTAGAGGAAAACGACACATTGATCCACTCGACCAATTCGTACTTGTACGGGAGGGATCTTGCGTTGAGATACGATACAATACGCCCGGAGATAACCGAAGGACACGAGGGGTTTGGGAGGGAGTACAATGGCAGTGAAAAGGGTTTGAAGTTGGCGGGCTCCCAAGTCAAACTGAAAGAACAAAAGAACAAAAGAGACAAGGAGGATCCCCCAAGTCAAAAGTCAATCAAAAGATAAAATAAACATTCGAAGTCAAAATTACTTGGAGAAACGGAGATCGTCCAAGGCTTTGACGATGTTGTTCCCAAGTACCCAATACGCACAGAGACGGACACAGGACTCCTAACTTCATGCAGCCTCTCTCTTTCCGACCACATACTCCCTTACGTAAAACGCATTGACGCAAGAGAAAGTTAAAAGTCAAAATCCAAGAATTTAGAAAGGAAGAGAGAGACATATCATAAGGGGAGATCAAGAATTAGGGTTACTTACTACAACCAAACTGCTTGCGATTAGGTTTTGATATTGGAAAAATGGCGACAGAGAAAGGAGAAGCGTCAAAGGGAGGAAGCAAGCACGAAATTCACTGGGGGAGGGACCCTTGACCGATCTGATGAGTTCGAACGGTACAAGATTTGCTTTGTTGGGTTACAACTGGGCACAGACATTCGTGAAAGTGACCAAAACTTGGGAAGATCATCATCGGCGCTTTTCGGAAAAGAAAAGTCGTCCACAGTGGTCGTTCAACACGATAAGTGAAGTGATGGGTAGGTTCTCTTTTCTTTCTTTTCTTGCGGGATAAGTAACAAAAAATAAAAGAATCATAAACCTATTGCAGTGGTATCAATTTAGTTATAAACATTTTAATTGAACTAATATAATCATAAACATTTTCACATTATTATCAATTCAATTTATCCAACCAATTTTAGCCGGAAATTGCTAATGTAGATGCTAGCTACGTGATACGATCGATAGACCATCGGTGTTGATGTGGTTATTTTTAACAATATTTTAATAAATTTTAATTTTTTTCCTTCCTTTTATTCTCTTTCCTTTGGCCAGTGGCTGGTACTCGGCCATGGCAGTGACCAGACATAGGCGAGGGCGTCATGGCCTTTGGTGAGGACTGCCCTCGCCAGCTCTGGGAAGGCTAGACCCTCGTGACATGGGTGAGGCTGCCCTCGCCAAAATTTGGCAAGGGCTTGACCCTTGCAGCCGGGGTGAGGGCGACCCTCGCTTGTGGTCGGTGAGGGCGGCAACGCCCTTGCCAGCCCTCTCCAAAGGCCACAAGGGCGACCATTGCCCATGCTACGATGGTCCAGCCCTTGCCAAATTCAACGAAGGTGACCCTCGTTTGTGGCTGGCGAGGGCTGCGACGCCCTTGCTGGTCCTTGCTTGTGGCCGGTCGGCAGTCATGGTCGAGTACTGGCCACAGGCCAAAGGAAAGAGAAGGAAAAAAAAACGAAAAAGGAAAATTTTGTAAAAATTAATAAAGAAAATTCAAAAAAGTATTAAA